GAAACAGAATCAACTTGCACAAATCAATAGCTTTTCTATACACTACCAACAAACATACAGACAAGGAGATCATGGACACACTCCCATCAATAAGAACCTCAACAAAAATAATTTGTAATAAACTTAACCAAATGAGGCAAAAAGACCTCTACAATCAAACCTTAAACTCCTGAAGAAAACAATAGACACTAGAAAATGGAAAGGCATCTCATGCTCATGGGTTGGTAGAATTAATATCGTGAAAATGACTATGCCTCAAAAAGCCATTTACAGATTGAGTACAATTCCAATTAAAATCCCCATCTCAGTTTTCATGGAAATAGATACTGTCCTAAAGTTCATATGGAACCACAAAAGACCCCGCAGAGCCAAAACAATCCGGGACAAAAACAACAGTGTCACCATTCCAGATCTCAAGATAAATTATGAAACCATAGTAATAAAAATAATATGATACTGGCATAGAAGCAGAAAGCACTTCCTGTAAAATCAGGACTGAGTTGATATGCATAACAGCTGTGTCATGTCCAGATACAGCCTTTCACAGAGGGCCTCTCTCATGGCTAATCTTTGCCCAAAGGCCCTGATCTTAACAGTCCCTTGTGACAACAGTACTCCCCATTCTATGTCTCTTATGTTCTTTCCACTTGCATCCCTGGTATGAAACCAATTTGATTCTGGTATCTATTGCCTCTTTAATGTGCTGTTGAACTAGACCTGCAAGTAATTTGAATTCTTTTTCATCTGTAGTTATCAGGAAAATTTTAGTCTATGCCTTTCTGTTTTTGTGGACTTCCTAGGTTTTGGTAGGCGACGCTGGCTTTGTGGAGTGAAGCTCACGAGAATTCACTTTTTATTTGGTAGAAGAATTTGAGGAGCTCTCGATATTCTTCTTTAAATGTCTGACAGAATTCAGCAGTCTGTCCACCCCGTCCTTGGTTTTGTTTTGTTTTTTTGTTTGTTTATTTGTTTTTGTTTTTTGTTTTCGATAAACTTTATCACTGCCTTTGGTCTCACTGCTCCCTATAGATCTGTCTTGTTTCTGCCTGCTTGGCTTGATTTCGGTAGGTCATCTATGTCTAAAAAAATTATCCATTTCCTCTAGGTGTTCCAATTTATTTGAGCATGTCTCCATCATAGTCCCCAATGATTTCTATATTTCAGTGGTATCTGTTATAAATCCCCTCTTTCATCTCTGATTTTATTAATTTGGATCCTTCATACACTTTTCACTAGAGGCTTGACCTTTTTATTCTTAAAGAACCTACTTTGTCTCACCTATCCTTTGTATTCTTGATATCTTCAAAGACCTCTTCACCATTCCAAAGTGCATCATTCAGTGCATAGTGTTTTTGACTTTTCTTGCTACTGGTTTCTAATTTAATTCTGATATGATACAAGGAATTATTTTTTTGTATTAGTTAAGACTTGCTTTATGGCATAAAATGTTATTTATTTTAGAGAGTTCCATGGGCTGTTGATAAGAATCTGTATCTACAGATCTATAGATACCTCTTATGTCCATTTGATTTTTGATGAGGTTTAACTTTGAAGTTTTTATTTCACTTTTAATACATTTAATACATTGTGTGTGTGGTTGTGTTCATGTATGCACGTGTGTGTGTGTGTGTGTGTGTGTGTGTGTGTGTGTGTGTGTGTATGCATCCATGCATGCCAGAGGTAGAGTTGGTGTCATTTTGGACCACTCACCAACTTATTTTTTGAGACAGTGTCTCTTACTAAACATTTCAGCTGTCTGTCTGTCTTTCAGACTGCCTGGCCATCCAACTCTCAGGATCACCATATCTGTACCTCCAGTTATGGGGTTACAGATGTACACTGCCATGCTTGGCTTTCAGTGGGTGCTAGGGAACCCAACTAAGGTCAAGTGCAGCAAGCACTTTACCCACTGAGTTATCTCCTCACCCTCTATTTTATTTGTGTCTGGATGATCTATTAATGGGAGTAAATGTCGAAGTCACTCACCATGCTGTATCTGGATCTGTCCATTTCTATCTAGTAGTGTTTGTTTTATAAAATTTGGTAGAGCAACACTCAGTGCATAACATGTTTATAGTTGTTATATCTTGTTGATGTATTCAGAGTTCCCCTTATTGATGAGTAGTGACCGTATTTAGTCCTTTTGACTAAGTCTGGCTCACAGTCTGCTTTGCCACATCACAATGGTGCACCTCCTATTTGCTTGAGAGTCCATTTGTTGGAATATTGTTTTCTAGCCTTTCACTTTCAGTCTCCTTCCGTGTTTTGCCTATGAAAGGCATTTCTTGTAGACAAGAAATGGTTGGGTGTAACTTACTTGTACAGTCAGAATCTTACCTGGAGAGAGTTAAGACTGACAATATTTAATATTGGTAAATAACTAGTAACTTTTTCTTTCATCTCAGAGATTTGGTAATTTACTGAGTTAATAATTTTATTCTTTCCACTTGTTTATCTTCTTCCTTATATGATATATTCTGTTTCAAGGTCTCATGGTCGTGGTATATCTTTCTTCTCTTCTGTGTCTAGGATTTTTTTGGGAATGCTGTGCAGTCCAGGCTTAGGGTTTTTAGTTTATTTTAGTTTATGTCTGTTGTGGAAGTTCTTTATTTCTCCTTCAGTATTAAAGGATAATTTTAATACCATAACCTTTGTAGGTAGTTATTTTATTTTAGAGTTTGAAATACTATAGCCCATGATTTCTTGGTCTTTAATGTTTCTTCTGATTGATCTATTGGTATTCTGATTGGTTTGTGAATTTGTAAGAAACTTGGCACTTCCGCTTTAAGCTTTTAATATCATTTCTTTGTTCTGTACTCTTGGCACTTAGGTATGATAGCACATGGAACACTTCTGTTCTGAGCCTGCCTGTTTTCCTCGTGTACTTGAGTGTCCATTTGATTACCTAGAGCTGGAAAATGTTCTGTTCTGATTTCATCCAGTAAGTTTTTTAGCATTTACTCTCTATTTTATGACCATTTCTAACATCACATATGTTTGTTTGTTCTCTAATTTCTCCGAAACCTTTAACCTTATCCTCATTCTGGTTTTAATTCTGTCCTATGTCTTTGTTGAATTTCTTATGCAGGTTGTTGTGTAGCTCATCCAGCTTGTTGATGTTCTCAGCTCTTCTTTTTTCCTTTTTTTAAATAGACTTGTTTGCTTTATCAGCGTATTTAAATCCTCATTGAGGTCAGTTATCATTTTTAAAACTAGGCTTTTGGATTCTTTGGTGCATTAGTCATTATTCTATGTTTGGATTCAGTTAATTGAAGAACTGAGATATTTTAGAAGAGTCATGTTGCTGCTTTGCCATATTTCTTGTGTTCTGAAGTAGTAATTTGTACATCTTTTGGAATGACTATTTCCTCCAATTTTCTGTGAAGGACTCAGTCTTGATTACTGCTCAGGAGAAAACAAGCTGCCATAACAATAATGCTGAAACAAAGCAGATATAGAAACAGGACTAATTAAAACCAACTGCTATACCATCAATAACCGCAGAAAATAAAATTGCAAGAATACTATAAAATAAACTATGAAGTTAAAAATTAATTAGGGAAAATGAATGAAATAAAGATGGGACAAAAACAGGACAAAGGAAAGTATGGTTAAATAAAAAAGGAAGGAAAAAGAGAGTAATGTGACAGAGGAAAAGAGTAAGTGACAAACTGGAAAAAACCTGTAAATAAGGTCACACCAAGAAGAGAGAAGACAAAACAAAAAAAAACAACTACAACTGAAAGTCAAGGGAGCATACAAGAGTAGAAGCGACTGTAGGGGGCTGAGAGGATTTGCTTCATATCAGACACTTAGTTAGAAGGCGGCAAAGAAGCATTATCGTACATCAGACTTCATGCAGTAAATTCACATAAAACAACCTAGTAGAACATCACACACGTCCTGTCTTGATGCTCACAGGGGACATAACTTGTATTTAAGAAATTGTTTCCCCTTTCCTGGGAGATCCAAGCGTCTCCCCCTTGAACCCTCTGTGTTACCTAGGCTCTCTGGGTCTGTGGATTGTAGCATGGTTATCCTTTACTTTATAGCTAATATATTCACTTATAAGTGAGTATATACCATGTTTGTCTTTCTGGGTCTGGGTTACCTCATCCAGCATGTTTGTTTATTTTTATTTTTTTATTTTTTGTAGTTCCATCCATTTGTCTGCAAATTTCATCATGTCATTTGCTCTGCCTACAAGATGAGCTAGGATAAAGGTGGCACAGAAATTGTGGGAATGGCCAACCAATGACTGGTTTAGCCTGAGACCCATGCCAGGAGAGGGGGCTCACCCTTGATACTGTTTGGAGCACCAGGACCCAGAGGATGGATAGTCCAGGGACCTAGGATAAAACCCAATGCAACTGGCAAAAAAAAAAAATCACTATAATGATTCCTAACGATACTCTGCTGTACTCATAGACTGGTGCCTAGTCAATTGTCATCAGAGAGACTTCACCCAGCAAACTGATGCAAACAGATGCAGACCCACAGCCAAACATTAGGCAGAGTTCAGGGAATCCTGTGGAAGAGGAGGAGGAAGGATTGTAGGAGCCAGAGGGGTCAAGGACACCCCATGAAAACTCACAGAATCAACTAACTGAGACTCACAGAGACTGAACTGATAACCAGGGAACCTGCATGTTTCTGTTGTGTAGCTTGTTTTTCAGGTGGGACTCCTAACTGTGGGAGCAGAGGCTGTCTCTGACTCTTTTGCTGACTGTTGGGACCCTGTTCCTCATACTTGGTTGCCTTGACCAGCCTTAATACAAGGGGAGGTGCCTAGTCTTAGTGCAGCCTGGCTTATTTTTTTCAGAATGCAAATGTGCTCGTGAGATATGTTGGCTATGGGAAGTGATGTTATTAAAAACATCTTTCTGGGCTTTCCTATATTAGTTTTTCTGATTTCAAGGAAAAATCATATTGCTACTTAAGACATTTCCTTTGTGTTTCATAAAGGCATTCAATGATAACACAGGATCCTGTTCCCTTAGGTTTGCCACAGCTGTGAAAAAGTTCAGCCTCCTGAATCCACTCTTGATTTTCAGTGGTGACTGCTTAAATCCTTCAGTTCTAAGTACAATAACAAAAGGCAAGCACATGATTTCTATATTAAATGAATTGGGAGTACATTTTGCAGTTTTTGGTAAGTAATACTTTTTATTATTTGAAGTTTATAAAACAATTTACATAAAACTAGAATATTTGATTCAAAATAATAATGGTCAAATAATTCTATTTATCAGCTATAGGTACTCAGAAGCAATTATTAGAATTGTACAATGAACTTGAAAATTTGTACTCAACTAAAATTTGACTTCATAAAGTAAGGTTTTTAGTTATGCCTGTGCAAAAGTAAGACATGTCAAAAGTAAGAGGAATTAAGACCATGGCTTTGAAGTTACCTGGGTCTGGGTCTGAATTGTGGTTCTCTAACATTGTTGAATGATGAAAAAGAAAGTGACTGCTGGGTTTAGTGGTTTACTTCTGTGATCCCATGACTCAGGAGGCTGAGGCAGGAGGATCACTCTAAGTCTGAGGCCAGTTGGGGCTACATAGTTGAGTTCCTAGTCATTCTGGGTTGTGGAGAGTCCCTATCTCACTACCACACACCCCCAAGAACCCCCAAATTAAAAACAATATTGCAACAATATTAACAAAATGAAGTGACTGATCTCTGAGTTGTTTTGTGATAAAAATTGGGAAAATAATGACATACCATCACAGAACATCTGTGAAGGCTGAAGAAGATAGTAACCATGTGCACAAGGCCTGTAGTAAGCATTTTAGCTGCTTCATTCTTTTTTTTTTTTTCGGAGCTGAGGACCAAACCCAGGGCCTTGTGCTTAGCTGCTTCATTCTTAAGATGAACAGATCCTAGGTATTTTAGTTAGGGTTTCTATTGCTGTGAAGAGACACCGTGACCATGGCGACTCTTATAAAGGAAAAAAATTAATTGAGGAGGCGGCTCACTTACAGTTCGGAGGTTCATTCTATTATCATCATGGCGAGGAGCATGGTGTTGTGCAGGCAGACATGGTGCTGGAGAAATAGCTGAGAGTCCGACATTTTGCAGGCAATAGGAAGTCACTTGAGACACTGGGCAGTATCCTGACCATAGGAAACCTCAAAGCGCATCCCCATACTTCCTTTAACAAGGCCATACCCATTCTAACAAAGCCACACCTCCTAATAGTGCCACACCCTATGAGCTTATGGGGGCCAATTACATTCAAACTACTATACTAGTAAGGAAAACAAGGTGTTCTAACTGTTAGTAACGTGTGAGGGTGTCACACTTTATGAATATAATATGGTCCATTTGATAATATTTTGGACATTAGTCAATCATGCTAGGGAGATAATTAAAGAGTTTCAACAGGGGCTGAGCTTTACAGGATTTTGTCTGTATATCTCACTACCATCCCATTTGGGGGATATTCAGTAACCATAGTGGTTCTATTTGGATGTGTGGATGGTAGAAGAGAATCATATAGGACATCAGTGTTCATAGCCTGCCCATACATATCCTTGTGGTCTTTGCCTCTCTGTGACAGAGAACATAAAGAAACAGGAAAAGCAGCTCTCACAGTCAGTAGGTCAGTGTCCTTTTGGTCCTTGTCTCACATGTACATACTGAGCAATATTTCTGGATTCTACAAATGTTCTGTGTTTAAATGCAGTATATATCTGATCAGTGGTTTTGGTCCATCCATTGAACTGGACCACACATTCTAACTTTTTCTCATTTATTTGTTAGAAAATAAGGAAACTGTCAATGAAAAAGTATAGCAGCACCCTTTAACTGAGAACCATGGAGATTTCCTGGTTATGGTTTAACATACAATGTCCTCTCCAGGCTCATGTATCTAAGTGCTTAGTCACTAGCTGCTGGTGGTATTTTGGAAGGTTCTGGAACCTTTTGGATGTCTTGCCATAGACTAGAAGGTGATGGCCACTCTTGATTCTCAAGAACTCTCTGCATCCTGATTGACTGTTTCTGCCGTCACAGCTGGAACCCTGGCTGCAGTTTCTTACCCGCTATTAAATTATGAACCAATCAATTAGTTGATTTGCCATTCTGTTTAGAGCAAAAAATCCTCCATTTGGTTGACTTCACATTTCCTTTTGAGTTTCTTTTCCCTTCCAACCCTACTGCAAGTGGGTTTCTCTTCTCTTCTCTGCTGAGAAGAAGCAGCCAATACCTGTTGGTTATATTCAACTTATCAGTTTTGCTGTTATATTGTATTTTTGTCATTTTGACATTTTTAAAGTCCTTTAAAGTAATTTAATGCAATTTTAGAAGTATAAAATATGTAAAGAAATAGAAAGTAATCATAATGCCATTTATTGTAGTTTCTTTCTGTTGCTGTAATAAAATATATTGACCAAAAAGCAACATGGGGAAGAAAGGATTTACTTGTTTATACTGCTGGGTTACAGCCCATCATTGGGGGAAGACATGGTAGGAACTCAGACAGGAATATGGAGCAGAGACGATGGAGAAACACTGTATTCTGGCTTTCTCACAGACTCATTACCTAGCTAATTTTGTTATACAACCCAAGACCCAGGGAATGGTGCTTCCCATGGTGGGCTGGATCCTTCTAGGGAATGGTGCTTCCCATAGTGGGCTGGATCCTTCTGTATTGATTAGCAATGAAAACAATTCCCCACAGTCGTGTCTACCAGCCCATCTGATCTCCACAATCCCTCAGATGGACTTTGAGACTCTCTTCTTAGGTGACATTAGGCTGCAACAAGTTGATAATTAAAACTAAGTCAGACATCATCATTTAGGTTCACCTATTGTGGTATTTCTTTGCCATTTCTTCCATGTACATTTCTTTATGTAGTTGGGATCACATAGTGACTATACCACTTTGTGTACTGCTTTTTCTTGATCATTCTATAAAGCAGTTCCCTTAGTATGTGAGTTTTAGTCTTACACAAAATAGATTATACATTCATGTGAGAAATTTAGGGATAGTATAATAAAAAGGCTTTAAAGATATGGGAGAAAGAAGAAAATACTTAAGTGGGGGATAAGATAGCTTTGAACAGTTAAAAAGTGACTACTTTAAACTGAGGTGTGCTCTAAATTCCATATAGACACTGGAATTTTAAGACAGTATGAAAACAAGAATGTAAATTTCTTTTCTCAATTTCTTTTCAAAATGTGGTTCTAGAAATATTAAAATTACATGTGTTGCTGTATACTATTTCTATTAGCATTATTATGAGGATGGTGTAATGAGGCCTGAAAAGGTAAGGGAGGAATCCCATGGGAAGGTCAGCTGGTAGGATGGATACATGGTTTTCAGCATAGCACACAGCCAATCTACAGTGACCTTTAAGAAGGGAGGAATCTGAGTAATAAATACCTTGGCCTTCTCCTTCATAACAACCAGTTCTCTTCCTGCCTATATCTACCATTGGTTTAGTCCAACAGGAAGCCAGCAGGAGTCAGCTAATGGAGTCCACTGAACTTGAAATATCCAAAGCCAGAGTAGCACAAAGAAAGATGAGAGTGAGCTGGGGAGAGGTCTGCCAAAGGTGCATGTCAGACTACCTCATTAAAATGCACTGTAATAAAGTTATGATATTTATAAATGTGTTCAGATGATATAGTCATCAGGCTTAATAACCAAAACATTTCATTGTAGAGCAAATCGTTTCTTTTCTCTGTGAGCCCATTTCTGCCTAGTTCTCATACCCCTTAGTAATCTTTACTTTCTAGGGCTTTGTCCAAGATTATGTTGTATGTCCAAACAAATATGAATGTTGATCATTGTGTCTTTCATATCTTCCTGTTTCATTGCCATCTCACCTATGTTTTTAAGAAAATCAGTTTATTCTGTTGAAATGGAGCAGGTTGTGTTCATACATTTAGGAAAAATATATATATGAATATATGTATATACACATATGTATACGTATATATATTCCTAATATATGTAACAATAACTAAAAAGAGACCATGAATTTGAAAGAGAATAAGGGAGTATATGGGAGGGTTTGAAGAGAAGAAAGGGAAGGGTAAAATGATGAAAGTATAATCTCAAAAGAAAAAAATATTATATTTCAAGTTTTGAGTCTATTGTGAGACTATTGTTCCTGGACTGGAAAGTTTTGCTGCTTTTAAGAATATTCCTTTTGTTGGGGATGGAGGACAGCAGGAGAATAGGGCCCTCTGAGTCAACTCAGCAAGGCCCATATGAACTCAGAGACTATAGCAGCTGGTAAGGACCTACAAGGGTATGCACCAGGTTTTCTGTGTATATATCATAGCTATTAGCTTAGTGTTTTTTTTTTTTTTTTTATGAAACTCCTATGTGAACAAATGGGTCTCTGATTCTTGTGCCTGCTCTTAGGACTCTTCTCCTTCTGTTGGTTTGCCTTGTCCCACTTTGCTATGATGGTTTTTGCTTTATCTTATTATATTTTATCTTGTCCTATTTGTTATCTCTTGGAAGCCTGTTTTTTTTAAAATGAGAGACAGAAAGGAAGTGGATCTGGAGTGGAGGAGACATGGGGAGGAGAGATGGAGAGTAGAGGGAGGGGAAACTATAATCAGGGTGTATTGTATGAGAAAAGAATCTATTTTCAATGAAAGGGAAAAATAATGAACCTTTCTTTTTTGGTCTGTAGCATACTAGGTGCGACTCAGGGTAAGCTAATGATGGGGAGTTGTGGTTGGACCTGTTTTTGGCTTCTGAGTTCCCAGGAAACTGAGTCATCCTCTGAGAAGCTAAAAATATTTGTCATCACAGCATGTGTCTGTGGTCTGATGTGGTTTGTCCACTCTTGTAGCAGGTTGCTCCAGAGTTGGCTTTGGTTTCGTCCTCCTTTGGTTCAGTCAGATGTAGTTCTGGCTTTCAATGGCTCTGGTTAGGCACAGAGGAATAAACTTCCGAGGTACAAATGGAAGAGGTGATCAAGTGTTTAGGAGCCTGGTCAGCTTATAAGAAATATCTTTTAAAAGAAACCTCCAGGGTCTAGAGAAATGGCTTAACAGCTAAACATGTTCTGCACAAATATGAGGACCAGAGTTCGGATCCCAGCACCCATGTAACAAGTCTGTAGCTCCACCTCAGGTATCATGCATCCTCTTCTGGCCTTTGGGGGGCAAACATATGTATACACATACATAAATGAAATAAAAACAAATAAATAAAAGTAAGCAAAAAAGAAAATAAACAAGTGAAAGCAGTTTCTATCTTTTAAAAATGTAGCTGAAGTCATATTCATGAATCTCAGTTATGACCTTGGTATATGAATTCATGATGGCTGAATACTGATGTGTAGTCTTTAGCTTCATTATTAGTCTGATGTACAAATTAAAGGTAAAACAATTATATGCTAAATCTAATTAGTTTTAGTGTTTTGATCATACAAGCCAAGTGTTTTTAATGCATAGTTTGAATAAAAATTACTATGTGTTTTATTAATTTTTAAATTAGTATTTTAATTGGTGTTATTACTTATAAATATGAGTATGTGATGTTATAAATAAATATACAATGAGACATAAATTTACAATCTAGAATAAAAATTTGAAATGAACTGATGTATTCTTTACTTCACTCAGTACTTTTGGTGACATTTGATCTGAAATACTCTCCTGTCAGTCATTTGGGCTATCATGTCATTATGGACTAGTGTTCATGTGTGGCACAGCTCTCCTGTTCAGCTGTAACTTGGCTCTCTTGTTTTTACAACTCCCTGTTCTGTAGACTTTCCTTACCCCAGTCTCTTGGTATAACCATCATTCTATTCAATGCTCAAATAAATCCAGCTCTTTAAATACCTCATATATAAGTAAGTGTATGCACAGTCTTTCTGAAAGGATATTCTAAGTAGAATATGCTTTCTGGAATCATAGAATTTCATTCCTTTTAAAGACTGAGTAATAGTCCCTTGTGCATATATACACTTAAGGAAGTTTTCCATTGACGAACATGAGGTTGACTCCAAATCTTTGCCATTGTGACTAACACTGCAGTGAACACTGGGGACCAGGGATTGCTTTCACATACTGTTTTCAGTGTCTTTGGACGGATTCTTAGAAGTGGAATTTCTGGGTCTTATAATCGTTCTATTTTTAAGTTTCTTGATGAACCTTCTTACTGCTCTCCACAATAACTGTGCTAATTTACATTATAACCGACAGCATGCAAAGCTCCCTCTTCTCCATATCCCTGATAGCCATGCTAATACCCGAGAGGATGTACTTCACCTATTATCTTTCTCCCCCTCATTCTACAAGAACAGAAAGTCTCAGTCTGTTTTGTATCTGCGTGTGTTTAAGTCCAAGAACAGTGTCGGACACAGAAAGAATTCTCTGCAGCATTTACATCTGTTAATGAAGTTTCAGTTACTTTTCTTCTGGTTGTGACCAAATACTTGGACCAGAAGCCACACAGGGATGGAGGATTTACCTTGACTTGTGGTTTGAGAGGATATAGTCCTTCATGGCAAAAAAGGCATGGTGGCGGGCAGCTCCGTGGCAACAGGAGTGTGCAGCCATTTGTTCGCATCTAGATGGATGAGGAAGAAGTGAAAGGGGACCTTCAGCACTTTACCCCTACACCCTGTTTAGGTACCTAGCACATGACATGATATACTCATATTTAAGGTGTGACTTCCCCATTTGTAAATTATTTCTAGAAACAGCCTTACAGACATGCGCAGAGGTGTGTCTAACCATCGCCTAAATGGTTCCAAATCCAGTCAGGTTGACAACAGAGATTATCAATCACAGTAGTGGTTTGCCTGGTAATGCTTTTTGGATTATAAGATTTCCTTAATTGTTTTACAGAACATATGGTCTTTGTGTGCAGGTTCACTATTCATGCCTCCAGGGATGCCTTTAGAATGATGTAGCCTCTTTCATGTGTAAGTTGCCAGGGTTGCTCAGTCAAGCCTAGAGGTCACCAGTATTGCCTAGTCTTTCTAGATTCATTTTTTTAAAATGTGGATATGAAGTTAAAACAACTTTGAGTACCATTTGGAGGAGATAATCTTTCTCCATTGATTTTTAATCCTTAGTCAAAGATCAGCCTGTGTAATTATGTGGATCTTCTTGAGAGCTCTCCATCCTTCTGATCGACTGATTTGGTCAGTTTGCCTGTTACTTCATTGCTGCCACCCTGTCCATTTTAGTAAGTCTTCAAGTTGAGTAAAAGCCCTCCTATTTTTCTTCTCCGTGAACATCGTTGTGTGTTCTGGCTTTCCATGTAAGTCAGTCTGCTGATACCCATGAAATGACTTTCTTTAAATTAAGATCTTGGTTAGAAGGGGATTGGATCTGTACATCAGTCGAGAAGAATTAACTTTGAAAATACTGAGTCTTTTTTTTTGGTCCATGAACATTTGTTCTCTTTCCATTTATACAATTCTGTGATTTTTTCATAAGACTTCGCTGTACTTTCCCGTGTGTGTGTGTGTGTGTGTGTGTGTGTGTGTGTGTGTGTGTGTGTGAATGTTTAATCTCCATTCTTTGGCTTACTCTTTCATTCATTTGACAGTGTCCTTTAGTAGCAGAAATGTTCAGTTTTAATGGAGTGAAGCTTGTGAACACACACACACATACACACATCTCTGCATTTTGTTACATTTATTCCTAGGTATTTTATTTGGAGTGGTACCAGTGTATATGACAGATTATTTTAAATTTCAAGTTCCTGGTGTTCATCCTAGTTTATAGAAAAAAATGATTTCAGTATATTTTCTATATTATAACCTTATTATAAGAGCTTATTAGGTTTATTGTCATAACATAGCTTCATAAGACTTGTGAGATCAAAAGTGTTACTGTAGGGAAATATATATGGTTATTTAGCTAATAGGTTGAACACTTCATATTCAAAATGTTTGGCACTGGAAGTGATTTGGATCTCAGGTTTTTTTGATTTTATAGTATTTACATTTTAATACAGAGCTACCTTGGACGTGGAATGTAAGTCCAAACAGAAATCATTTATATTTTGTGTATGCTTAGTAATTGTCTGAAGGCAATTTTATGCAATGTTTTACTTCTCTTTATTTTGAAAGTAACCTGTTACATGAAATCGGGTATGGAGTCACCTACCTACTTGTGATACACACTTTGGTGCTCAAAACGTTCAGATCTGGGATTTTTAGATTAAGAATGCATGGTCTGTACCTGATCATTACCTATGAGAATTACAGCAAAGAAGTTCTCCAGAAATCATGTAGGAAGTAGATATGCCAGGGTTTCCAATTATAAAAACCTCCAACTAATTATAAAAGTCTCTAAAAGTATAAAGGGAAAATAAAATTGACATTGACCTATGATTTTTTTTCAAGGACAGATAAATTGCCATCAACTGTCAACATATTTTCCAGAGGAAAGAAGCCAGCTTGCATCTGAATTTTCTATTGAATTGTTAATTTCACATATCATACTGATTAATTCTATGCTACAGATACTTTACTGTATTCCTAAAATACCCTGCTTTATGTAAATCTGTTGCTTTTAAATATGAAATGATAAAATATAATCTGATGAAAGATTTTGTTACTTGAATTTTCCCTTAGAAAGGGGTCTGCCACAGGGCTAATTTCAGGAGTAACTCCTGGTTACTACCTAAAGGATCACTATGTTGAATTTTCCTTCCTGTGCTAGACAGGTGCTGCACTGCTGTGCTGTATCCCAGCTTGCTTTTTGCTTCCTGAGACAGGGCATTCCTAAATTGCCCAGACTAGCCAGGAACTTCCTTTATAGCACAGATAGGCTTTGAACTTGTGATTCTCCTGACTCAGCCTCTCAGATAGCTGGGCCTGCAGGCCTGTACCACCAATCCTGGCTTTTATTTTCATAACAGCTACTTATTTACCCTTGTGACAGATATAGTGATTTTAGATAATACAGTAGAGATGCACCAGGACCTTCCTCCTTTCATAGTGTGGTTGAATTTTATGAAATTTTCAGTCAGGAATAAGAATGTGTATTTTTATAAAGTGTGGCTGCATGCACTAAAAGTAATCTTTAAATTAGTGTGTTATTGAGCAGCCATTAATCATGTCACTGCATTCCCCCATATTGCAAGGCTTCTTTTCCAAACTTAAGACTTTCTTTGAACTACAACACTATCTGAATTGCTAGGAGACATTCTATGGCTGAAGGCTTCTAAAAATCACTGTCTTTCTAATTGCAATTTGGGCTAATTAAACATATGTGTGTCAAAAATGCTTGCTCTTAACATGCAGCTTTGCACCTATTGGAAGCTACCTCATGGAGAACCGCAATATGTTTGGGACTAGAAAAAATATTCTTGTGATTTAAACTTAAACTTTTATTTTATGCGGTCTACAACACTATCTAAAATGTGATTTATTTTATTATTTTTTTTATTTTAGGAAACCATGAGTTTGATTTTGGTGTTGATATTTTGGAAGACTACATGAAACAAATGCACTTCACGTGGTTTCTCAGTAATGTCCATGACAGATTTACTTCTGAACCTCTTGGCCATGGTACAGTAAAAAAGATAGTTAATTGGAACAATCTGAAGATTGGCTTAATGGGACTAGTTGAAGAAGACTGGCTTGATACTCTGGCTACCGTTAACAAGTCTAATGTAAGCTATAAAGATTATGTCGAAGCTGCTAATGAGCTAGCAGTAGAGCTGAGAGAAGAAGGAGCCGACCTTGTGATTGCTATGACACATATGAAGTGGGGGAACGACACAAGGCTTGCCCAGCGAGCCGAAGGGCTCGACTTGATTCTGGGAGGCCATGACCACGAATATGGGATCAGGAAAGTGAATGAGACTTGGATTGTCAAAAGTGGATCTGATTTTAAAAATCTGACCAAAATAAACATACGGCTATTTGATGCCTCTTTCCAATATGTGTTTGAGAAAGTGGATGTTGTGAGTTATTTGGAAGAAGATTCATATATTAAAGCAATAGTAAGAGATTTTACTCAAAACATACAGGTGGGTGAGTATTCCTTGTGTTCCTCAGCAAAATGTGGGGTGATCACATTTTAGATAGTGTTGTAGACCGCATCATAGCCTGTGATAGTGAATGAGCAACACCAAAAATATCATCTCCAATCACAATAAATTCATGGGAATTTGTGATAGTTTTCTATCTTTTTTAATTTGCATATCCCATTTATATTTTATTTTGACTTTGCAAATAAAAGGAATTTAGACCCACTGTAACATTTCTGTTTATCTTAACTGATATTATTAAAATGTTTTTCTGTAATCAAATTCTGTAAGAATTTATGCCTTTAGTAATTTACATTAAGCACTAGCTTAATGCAAAAGCACAGGTGATGAAATTATGGTTTTCCTCCCTCTCTTCTACATATATATTTCAAACCCTCAGTGATTTGTCATCAGGCCACTTAGACTCTTACATGAATTTGAAAACGTAAGGATTGTCTTTTTACCAGACCCCTAAGCATATTGGGCAAAATGTAGTTGCTTAAAGGTTATACATGTATGTTACTTTTGTGAGAGATTTATGAAGTATAAGCCATGCTCTATTGATATCTATGTATGTACTGTTTAATATAACTTTTGGCACCTGAGATAATTCTATGGGAATAGAAGTTTCTTTTCTGCTTCAGTTGGAAGTAATTAATTGTTTAATGTTGGATCAGCTTGATGCCATGAATATTACATATTTTTATAACATGTTTCTGGCTTTAGAAGACTAGGATGAAGGCTTCCAAACTGTGTGATAACATGACTTATTTCATAGCTTTTAAAGTCAGTGGCTGTCGAGTGTTCAGTGTTTTGGTATCCTTTTAGTAGTAGTACAGAAAAGAAGGGCTCCAGTAAATTCTCTTGATTTTTAACTTGAAGTAAAAATAAATGATCAAGTGGAGAAAATTAATTTAATAAATCAATAAAACACAAGGAATTTTAATTTTAGATAGCTATTTTTTCTTTTTTTAGTATATGTTAAAAGAAGTTCTCTGCCCAATTGACATGGAATTAGATGGCCGTGAAATTACAGTCAGAAGATGTGAGAGCAATCTTGGAAATCTGGTGACGAATGCAATGTTAGAGGCCACACGTGCTGATGTAGCACTTCTTAATTCAGGTGAGTTCAGGGTTAAAAGGGACATGCAATAGCTAAGGTCAGGTTGCCAGAACTTGTAGTAATAGTAGGTATTTTTAAGATTTGTGAAGTCCTACTTAGAAACTTTATTGATTTCATGAGTTTAGTTACCCATTTCCTGTAAGAATTAGGTATTTGGAAGTAGATTCTGGAGTTCAGTTTATCTGAAACTTAAAGCATCTGGTTTGTAGAGTATTGACTTGCCAAAGAGATTTCTGTGAAGAGATCGCTGTCTCTCATCTGTCTCAACCCTGTGCTGTTCTGCTCTGACGAAATAAAAAGCAAGGGATTGAAGTCTCTGGGCTGAAGTTCTTGCTCTGCCCAGTCTTGCCTTCCTACCTCTTTAGTAAGGAGATGGTAAGAGCTTCCTGCAGGACAGACAGTGACCGGCTTTAGTCAGTCTCACTGTTTTGTCGGAAGTTGGTAGACTTAGAGTTTAAAGATTTTAAGAGTCGCTGTATACAATAAAAAGCAATCCTCCCCTGAAAACAACTTTAGTTAATATGCTGTAACCGAGAGCTTTGGGTGTTGTCTGGGCACAGAGACTGGGTCTCGACTGCTTCCTGAGCTTAGACTGTGGGGTCGAGATGTCACTCAGTGACAGAACTCTGGCCTGGTGTGTGCCAGGCCTTGGATTTGATCCCCAGTTTCAGCTTCTGCCTTCTGCTCCCCAAAGTTATGATGTAATACTGCTTAGCATCCGAATGATAAACTTCTTAGAATTCTGTTTTTCATGGAAGATACAAATGCTCTTAAACTTACATCTGAGTGGTTTAGAATTGTCCATGAAAACATTTTCCAAGAATGAAATTTTTTGTAGTTGCTGCCTGTGAAGATCTGTTCTGGAATTTGTGGGCCTGGTTCTGCAGATATAGAAGGAGAATAATGGCTTTCCAGTTGTAATGTTACAACTTAAGAAGAACATGGGAGTTGACATGAAATTAAGTCTTCTAAAATGAATATGTTACATATAAGATTAAGCTGGAAGTAAATATGAGGAAGACATTAAAAACCTGATTAGGGCCTTTTGTCCTAGGGATGGAAGGTTTTGAGTTGAAATGTAACTTTGAGTCATCAAAGTACTGTTTTATGGAGAAAACTAAAACACATTTTTCCCTCATTTTAAATCATTGTAGGCACTCTCAGATCTGATAGGATACACCCACCAGGAAATTTCACTCTGTATGATCTTTTGGCTGTACTTCCCATAGTGGACCCAGTTTTGGTTATTAGAGTAACGGGGTCACAGCTACTTGAAGCACTGGAAAATGGGGTTTACAAGTACCCAGCTCTAGATGGGAGGTATGTTCATACGTTTCTACTAAATGATGTACTTAATTTTAAAACGGGACTGAAAACAGACACATTTAAATATGGCTTATCATTATAAATTTTAAAATTAAAAAGTCTTAAAATATTAATGTTAATATGTAAGTATAGTTTAAAAATCTCTAATTCTTATTTTTACTAAATAATGTTGAGAGTGGCAAAATATTGGTATGTGAAAAATAAGCTGTTACTAAAAGTCAGTATATTTTTAGCTATATGTAGGTATATTTTAATGTAGGTATTGAATTTCAGTATTTAAGTATGTAAACCCAGTTTTTCACTTCCTTTAAAATTTTTGAAAAATAAAGTACTGCTTTTCTGTCTAATTTTTATATCCAGATCTCACTGGAATTTTTAGTTAGATGATGCTAAGATAGCACACTTAGATGACGTAGATGTGTGGATGCTTCTCTTTTGTGTTCTAGCCTTAAATCAAATATCTGAAAATGTTATAAGCTATCATCATATTGTACCTGTAATAGGGCACCATAATGACAAGAACTAGAAGCTGAAAAAATATGAAAGAAATCCCCTGGAGAAAGAATTCAGCTGGGCGGTGGTGGTGCACACCTTTAGTCCCAGCACTCAGGAGGCAGAGGCAGTCGGATCTCTGTGAGTTCAAGCCCAGCCTGGTCTCCAAAGCGAGTTCCAGGAAAGGTGCAAAGCTACACAGAGACACCCTGTCTCGAAAAACAAAACAAAACAAAAAACAAACAAACAAAAAGAATTCAGAGAAATATTTTATGCTTTCATAAATTACTATTTCAAATTGGGTTAAAATATGTATAGGAGTTTCATTAACATGCTATATGATTCATCCATTTCTGTACAGTTGAGTGTTTTCTAGTTTTTCAGAGTTGTAAAGTTATTGTCAGAATCAATTCAAGAACATTTTCTTCACTCTGCAAAGAAGCTGCGCATTGCCAGTCACTTCGCATTTCCTCCCAAACCCTCAGCTCTAGGCAAACATAACCTGCTTTTAGTCTGTAGGTTTACCTGGTTTTTCAGTTATAGGAGTCAATCTTGTAATGTGACCCCTTTCCTAGCTTCTTTCACTTAGCATGTTTTCAAGGTTCACCTATGATATAGTGTGTGTCAGTACTTAATTACTTTTTATTGGTGAGTACCACACCATTTATGGATAATGACACATTTATCCATCCATCAGTTGATGGACATTTGGACTGTTTCCACCTTTTCCACCATTATCAACAGTGCTGCTGTGAAAATACATGTGCTGAGTGTTTTATTGGACTCTTAGACACAGTGCATACAGGATTTGAGGTGCTGAGTCATGAGGAAACTGACGGCTGTTTCCAAAGTGACTGCCCTGCCTTAACATTCGCCCAGCAGTAAGTCACCTAGAAGCTTCCCTGCCAACACATGTCACCTTCCCCACTAGCTGTCCTGGTTAATGGACACAGTGATGTGTGTTAAATCTCCATCTTCTACAAAGTGCATTTACTTTACAATATATAGTACATGATAAATTTTTACATTTATTTTTATAATTTATTTTACAATAATTCTATAAATTATTACAGTTTTATTTATTGATAAAAATAAAATTTCAAGTTGAGCTATATTAATAAGAGGATTATTAGCATTATTAGAAAAGTTACATACAACTTTTTACTTACCTTCCTTCATCCTAACAATGCCCTTCCAGTGTTTCCTTTCTCAATTCAAGGCAGTTTAATTTACCCCCAAATTTGTCTTCAACTCCACCATGATTCTTAGAATTGGTATGTGTCTTGGAGTTTCTTTTGCCATGATAAAACACCATGACCAAAAGCATCTTGGGAAGGAAAGAGTTCATTCATCTTATAGCCTTCCATCAATGAGGGAAGTCAGGGCAGGAACTCTAGGCAGGAGCCAGAAGGCAAACTATGGAGGAATACTGCTTCCTGGCTTGCTCCTCATGGCTTCCTTAGCCTACCTTCTTCTAGCACCCCTGGACACCAGCCCAGCAGTGTTACTGTTCAAAGTAAGTTGAACACCCAATCATCAATCAAAAAAAAAAATGCCCTACAGACTTGCTCACAGACCAATCTGGTGGGGACATTTTTTTCAGTTGAGGTTCCCTCTTCCCAAATGACTGTGGTTTGTGTCAAGTTAACAAAAAATTAACCAGGACAGTGTGATAAAGCCTTGTCTGGGTATGTGCGAATTTAGTGATGAAACAATGATTTTTAGCCTGGTTATAAACAGAATTAGAGGTAGACAAATGACTTTTCAGGGAAATAATTAGATGGATATATATAGAGAGATGAATATTAGGCCCAGGACAGGAAATCAATGTGAGCAGATAAGGCATGTAGAATAAGCAATACTAGTCAGTCTGTTGAGCCTGAATACATAATTAGGAGAGTGGTTTAATTAGTCCCAACTATCAGTATTTTTCCTCAATGCAATTTTAAGATATTTGAGAATACCTTTGCATCTAATTTTAATCAAATTTCTGACAATACCTCTGCATACAAACTAATCAACTTCCATCTGAAACTTGATTAGCTGATTATACTGTAGGAACATCTCTTGTGTCTCCAACAGACCATCCACAGGACAGTATTTTCCACACATCACTTCACCAGTTATTTTTCTAAAACGTAAATAGTTCATGTAATGCTTCTGTTTAAAATTACATAACAGTTCCCTTTAGCCCACAGCAAATGATCTCAAGTACTCTGGAGGCATATTCCCAAATTGGCTCAACATTGCCTTTTCAAACTCAAGCCACCTGTCATATATGAACTGTACTTTTGCCATCTCAATAAGAAACCCTCTCAACTCCTGATGCACAGGCTGTCTCCTGCCTGTGTCCCTAACAGTCTGTGCCATCTGCCTAGAAGGCCCTTTCTCTGTCGCCTCAGATCAGTTACCCCTTTTCTGTTGTTCTTGTGGTAGGAGCTTCAATTGCATTTTTGAGATCATTCTTTTCTCATATAAACATTAAATGTTACTTTAGTGGAATCATACACATTTTGATGTATTATGTTTATGTTACCCTTGTTACCCTGTTTAGCTCAGAACACTTAATTTTTTTTGAGATTTTCTCCTTTATCTGTGGATTATTTATGAATAGATATTTAAGTTTCCAAGATTTCCTTGTTATCTTTGCCATTGGTTTCTAGATTCTACTCAGAAATCATATTTTGTAGAATTTCAATTCTTTAATATTGGAATATTTGTTTCATGACCTGGCTATATATACATAGTCTACACTGATTAAATTTCAATGTGTACACTGATATATGTATTTTATTGGTGGTTTTGTTTCTGTTCTTCTAAGTCCTTACAACTTTTCTACCAACTGTAATATTTAGTAAGGAATGTTGAATCCTTCAGTTGGTTGAGATTTTTGTTTTCTCTTTCAGTTTGATTAGGTTTTGGTTGATGTATGTGAAGCTTTGTTGTTAGGTACACATATAGTCAATGTTGTGCCATATTGACTAGTTGGCCATTTTATTATATATGGTGAAGAGATTAAAAAGTTATGACTTTTTTATACAATTCAGTTGTTTATTATAAATAAAATTTGTTTCCTTTTAACCAAGCTTATTCATTTAGGTATACTCCATAACTTAATTAATAATGAGTTAGATTTGTGTAACAAAGGCAGTATGGCTTGTGAAGACTAAAATTCTTATCTGCCTAATTTAAGAAAAAATATTGTTCCCCTTTTATCCTTGTCTCTTTATCTCTTTGCTCTGTAGTATGCTGTGGGCTTAATATACCCAGCCCAGTTTCCTTTTGATTTGTCTTTGTATTGTTTATTTTTGTCCATTCACTTATTTTTAAACTATTCATGTCATTTTTTTTTAAAATTAGAGACTTATAAGACAGAATACAATTTGTGGTTTATATTTAGTTTCATAATTTCTTTCTTTTTATTTGTGAGCTGAAAACTTTTGACTTATATATTATTTTTGTTCTGGCATGTTTAACTTTTAGTATTTATATTGTATTTGCTCTGTTTTATTCATTCCTTAATTTTTCCTACCTCTTTCTGAGTTGCTCAACAAATGTTTAGTGTGACATTTTAATGTATAGATTTTGAAACTATATGTGACTTCAAAATATAAATATATGTAGGACATTTAACTTACCATAGATGGCTTTCCGAAAAATACTTAGATTTTTTTTTTAATGTATGGCCGTGTGGATGTCTGTGCACTACGTGTATGCAGTGCTCACAGAGGCCAGAAGAGGGAGGTAGATCCTCGGGAATTGGCATTGCAGACAGTTGTTGGCCACTATGTGGTACTGGGAATAGAACCCTCATCCTTTGGAAGAACTGCTAGTGCTTTTAACCACAGAGCTACTTGTCACTCTAAGTGGAATGTAGAGACTCATCGTTATGGTGCTCAGTGTTCTTTCTACCATTTTTATGGTGTAGTTGTCTTATATAACACACCTCCCTATGTTATAAATTACATATACTAGTTTAAACTTTGCTTTCAAACATTAAAGAATTCAAGAGAATGGTCTGTTTATCCAGATTTTTTTTTATTTCTACTGCTTTCTTTTCATTTCTGTTTTTCCAAATTTATTTTTTGGTATCATTTCCCTTTGGTCTGAATAAATTCTGTCAAAAGGTTTTTGAAAGCATTTCTGCTGGCAAAGAATTACTTAACTTTTATTCTAAGAATGCCCGTATTCCTGGAGGATATTTCAGCTGGATATGGAATTCATGGGATGGTCCTTTTCTTTTAGTTTTCTGAGTCATTTTTCTACCACCTTTTGACTCCAAGAATTGTGATGAAAATTTTCAGTCTTTCACATTATTTTTCGTTTATTCACAAAGCATTGTTTTTCTCTGGTTATTTCTTGTTTTTTTTTTTTTTTTATATTCAGTGGTGTGTTTCTGATGTGTCTGGTTCTGTGTTTCTCAAACTTTGTTCTCTGTGTTTATGTTTGCTTTTGGTTAGATTTTGCTTATATCTTTAATTGAATTTGTGAGACTTTAACTGTTTCATTAAATTTTATTTAATAGTATATCTTTCCTTATGTTTTTCTGAAATTTAGATGACATAGTTAGACCTTGGGTTCTACTCTCATAGGTCCCTGAAGCTCAGTTTATTATTATTTTTAATTTTTTCTCTCTTGTATAAAGATTAAAATTTTTATTATTATATTTTTTCTAGTTCATGACCTTTTTTAAACATGTAATCCACATTCTGTTATTGAGGCCATTTAATGAATTTTACTCTTATTTTCAAGTCAAAATTAAGTAAGATTTATCCCCTTCAAGGTCATGTGTGTGTGTGTGTGTGTGTGTGTGTGTGTGTGTGTGTGTGTGTCTGTGTCTGTGTGTGGGTATTTTGAACACATGCATGAATGCAGAAGCTAAAGGTCAATGCTGGATGTCTACCTTGGTCATTCTCCATCTGGTTTTTTTGAGGCAGGGTCACTCATTGATTAGTCAGTGAACTCTGGGGAATCTTCTATCTCATCTCCCCAGTACTGGGATTATGGATACCAGCTGCTCTGCCTGAATTTATTTGACATGGATTCTGAGGTTCTGGGGATAGAATCAGGTCCTCAAGCGTGTGTGGCTTGAGCCACCCCCTCAGTTCCTTCATTCTCTTTTATATTATGTTTCAGTGCAGACACGTTCTACAATTCCATTGGATTCCAGAATGATTTTATTGCTTTATTGCTATCTACTTTTCTAATGGCTGCTTTCTATTTTTTGAAAATTTGATTTTCTGTGTCATTCCAGCATTGGCTTCCTTCCTCACCCCCCCCCCCCCCCCCCCGAGCTTTGGTGTTTTCCTGGTTTTTCTTCTTTTCCTGAACATTGTTGGATTTTCTTCTGGACATTTTGAATATTATTTTGTGAGCCTCCAATCTCATTTTAGTTTCCTGAGTGTTACCAGTGTTGCTTCAGTAGGCAGTAACCTGCTTAGCCTCCGGCTGGCTCCAGCCTCCTGTGGGGTGTGGTTTAGATGCTGGACCTGTTTGTAGTCTTGTAGCCCTGTGCATATTTCCTCCTTGGTGCCTCCTGGCAGCCAGTCCTTGACTCTAGCTGAGGTCTGTTCTGTTTTTAGAATGATTCTCATGTTAATTATTAATATAGGTAAAGGGGAGCATAGTTGGTAAGTGGCATTATGGGATTGCTTTCTTGAGCTTTAACAGTTTAGCTTCTCTTCTCTTTCTAGCTTCTCATGTCCTTGGGCATCATCTTTCTGGTCATCTTGATGCAAAGGGCTTTAGTTACCATGCAGTCCTATGGCCTTGTTAAAGTGCCCTGTGTTGAGGGTCAGGCGGGAGCTGGCAATGGACAGACTAAGCATTTCAACTCTGTTTCAGTGTGGTTCTTCAGGTGCAAGTTGCCACCCCCACCATAGTGCCCTGGGGCTGAATGTGGGGAATGAGGCCCTTCCTTGAGTTTCTGTGGTTACCTTTCCCTTCGTGGCACCCAGAAAAGGAGGACTTTTGAAGTTTACTGCCTATATGATCCTTCCTACAGCTGTTAGGATGGTAGATGTCGGACTTCAAAAGATTAGTAAACGTACTATCAGCTTAGTGATAGCTCACATTCTGATCCTTTTCTGGAACCCACATACAACGGTTCACTTTTCAGAAGCCTCACTCGTTGTTTCCTTCATCCTGCCCAGGAGTAATTGAGTTCCTGGAATGGATGGGATGTAATGTGCTTGTATCTGATCCATAACAGGCAGCTCCCCCCGTGGCATGCAAACTGTGATTGTGTAAAGATCTACGGCAAACCTAAGGTGGTTTAGACTTTCTTTCTTTCCCTTCCTCCCTCCTTCCTTTCCTCTACTTCTTCCCCTCTTCCTTTTTTCCTCTTCTCCTTTCTGTTTTCTTTCTTTCCGCTGTTTGCATCTTAAACTGCTAGAAGATGGAAACAGATGTTTGGCTTTGTTTCTGATTCTTTGATCTCTTATCAAAACTGTATTCTTCTTTGCATCATTGGCCTCTTTCTGTTCAGCCAAACCTGTTCCTTGTCATCATCTGTCACCAGTACTGATTATAATGTCATCTGCTGTGATCCAATACTATTTGGTTTTTTATAAAATTTGTTTTTTTTCCATCTACTAATCACTTTTCTCACATTTCTCTGATTTTGTGAAAATCAATTTAGTTTTTCTTTTCTGCCAGTGAAACTGTGAGGCTTTTTTTCTTCTCAGTTTCTTTGTTGTTTCTCTGTAATCAGGGCATCTTGTGGTTTGGTGAGCTGTGTATGTAGGTGGCAGTAAGAGTATATTAGTTATTTAGAAACATAATGGAAGCCTAAGGTTTTTGTTTTTCAACCAAAAGTTTCTTTAACTGAAAATAAAAGATCCATAATAATGTTTTACTCGACAACATTTTAAAATACTGTGATTGAGGAATTGAGAACCATAGTAAAAATACTGACCTGGCAGGTTTATAACTCTGATTTTTTATTGTTTAATAGTCTTGATGCTTTGTTTAGCAATTTTCCACTAAGTCAGAGCACAGAAGGAAGACTATTAGGGGATTTCTATCGAACTGTAATTCTCATCCTAGCAAGGCAATATTGAGTATTACCTGTGCTAATTCATTGTATTTTATATTTGAAGTGATGGCTGCCTAGAACCTGGTACAGATTGGTATACCAGAATAGTCCAGGTGGTGCTTTTTAGTATGACAACTACAAGGAATGGATAAATGCAGCAGGAGAAAGAGAGCAGGGGTAGACCAGGCCAGGCAGGGGGACTGAATGTCGCCAATGTTACCTCTGAGTTACCGGAAGGCAGAAGGGAGCAGCGGGGACAGCTGGGAGAAAGGTGGCGAAGGGTGGCTGAGGTTTCCTCTTGGGGCAGGGACTTTGTTTCCCTCAGCATCTGTTTCCCCAGAAAAATGCTCTCACAGCTAGGCTTGCCTTTTTCTAAATTATCCGCTGGGTGAATCCTGTTTCCGACTTATAACCATTTTGTAAACTAGAGGACAGTATTCTTCACTTGATCTTAGCCCAAAGGCTGATATGTAATAGATGACAGTATTCCCAATGGCAGGATTTGTATTAGAAAAATCTTGTTAGCCTCATCGATTTCAGAAGAAGAGTTTAGCAGTGAGTTATAGCCCCAGCCGCCCTCCTCATCTTTATTCTCACCAAGTTGCCCAGGATGACCTTGGATTCACTTTGTAATCCATGCTGAATCTGTGATCCTCTTGCTTTAGTCTCTCAAACAGCCAGAGCTGCAGGTCTGCATTACCAAGCCCAGCAAGTAATAACATGGGAGCAATAATAAATATTAATAGGAGTCAGGCATTTCTAAAGTTTGTAAGGGGCTGTAGTTAACATTTTAAAGGTACATATATATTGTCTCTTTAATCATTGTATTCCTTTAGTAACTGAGGATGGAAATTGAGACATCTTACAGTAGTTCAGTTGTAGAAGAGAAATTCTTTAAGTTTCTCTTTGCAAAGAAAGAAATAAGGATAGAATTACTCAGAGTTGCTTTTATTAACTTTTGAAATCAAAGGTCACGTGACAGCTGTTCAGATGCACCCAGCTTGTGTGCACCTTGCATATCAAGTAGCATAAAGAGATGTGCTCACTTCATTTCTCATATTTTCTCACATATGATTAGTATTCTGCAGAATTTTATCTGACAGTATGTTTTTACATTTCAGATTTCCTCAAGTTGCTGGGATAGAATTTGGATTTGATCCAGATGCAGAACCAGGACACCGAGTCATAAGAGACACTGTGAAAGTTCAAGGACAGTACTTGCGGAGAAAAAAGGTCTATCTTCTGGCCATTAAGGAGTACATTGCAAATGTGAGATCAGTTTCTTTTGAAATGTTTTAAGCAAATTCCCTGATGCTATTCACATGCTCATGCCCACACATATTTGAGTTTCTTTTGATGATTTCAGACACTCAGAAAATAATGTTTCTACTGTTGTTTTTGTGATTCATGAATTGAAATTAATTTTAACTCATGGTATCCAAGCACAATTTCATTGTTTTGTACTGTCAGATTTAAAAATACAGGCCATCTAAAATCCATGCATACCTAAACAACAGGAAAATGTTGCCAGAAATGTGCAGCCCTAAGTGCTATAATGGATTTCTAAATTCAAATTTAGTGATAAACATTCCTAAAACATGTAATATTTCTACTTTAGATATATTTTTCATTTATATCACATTTTGTTATCTAGAATGAAACATAGATGACTGGGGTTTAAGGACTTCACATATGAATTTAGCGGGTTCTCCACTATGTGATATGGAGTACAAGAGGCAAGGACACTTGATTGATGCATAGATTGTGTGCTCTAATGCTGGGAGCCCTTTAGTAAATTTCAGATTAGATTCTACAGTATTATTCTAAACAGCCTCTCTTAGTTAACTTTATTTCACAACCTTCTTTAGAGATTGTATGTGGCCTATTCTCAAGGCTGTTGAATAATAGAGCTGGGACAACAGGGTCACAGCTACCATTTCTAGATCTATGGAGGAGGACAATAATTTAAAGTATAATAATTTAGATTTAAGAAAATAATGTCTTGTTGTACATATAAAGGAATTACTTTGATACAGGAGTAAATTTAAAATATATTTAATGTATCCATTATTTTTGGCTTAGAAAACTGAATTACATTTTGGCATTTCAGGGCAAAGATGGCTACAGTATGTTTAAAAGTTGCCCTCGAATGTTTGACACCGAAACTGCACAGGTGCTGTCTACAGTCGTCATGAATCACTTTGAATCAATCAAAATTTTGCAAGGAAGGAAGAAGTGTGTTTCAGGCCATCGAATGAATTTGATTATGACAACGGACAAATCCCCGTCACTGACAGGTGACAGTATGGTTTTTGTCTTATGTGCTTCCTTTTGACTAACTTTTTCTTCGACTCTGCTCTCTAGGTGGGCATTCTGGTGTCCTAGGAAGTGTGGAGAAAGTAGACTAAGCTTTATTTTCCAAGAGAAAGGCAGGCACAAGGGACTACAGCCACAAGGAATGCAGAGGCATCCAAAGCTATGGAGGACAGAGATGTTCTAGGAAATCATGTCCTTTTTAAGCTTTTCTGCTTCACAATCTTCAATTGCTTCTACGATATTTATCTTCTAGTCTAGATGGAAAATTATAACCTGTCAAATTAGCTTACTTCTGTCCAATTAAACATTTTGTCTTTTCCTACCTGATAAACACTGGGCCTTGGCATATAGATCCCATTTATTGATTGAGTTTAGAAGCTTAATTCTTTTTATAACATCACTTTAACCACAATCCAAGGCCAAATGTGATCAAATTATAATTAGTTTTATAATTGGCTGATTCTTTGATAAATAATTATATTCCTAAATATATCCAAATTTTGAAAGCTATAATTACACCTTTTAGAAGAAATTGAATTATCTTTTTTTAACCAAGAAAGTACAGTTTTTAATGCACTGACTATACTTTTTGTCTAATTTTTTTCAAAAGTTAAAGTGGAAAACAAAACGACAGCTATCACATATGATCACGACTCAGTGGGCTATATTTACACACAAACACACACACACACACACACACACACACACACAACTACAACAACTAAAAGGTATCATGAATTTCAGAGGGAATGGGAGGAATTGCAAGGGGGAAAGAGAAGAGTAGAAATGATGTAATTATGTAAATTTTATTTGTATAAAATTCTGAAAACATTAAAATATATAATAATCAAATTCTCTTGGGGTAATGTGTAGTAATACTTTAAAGGCTCTAAAAAATTGACATATAAAATTGTATTGTGCTGTTATTGTGTGATGTTTCTGTATGTGCATACATTGTACTATGTTCAAATCAAGGTAAGCATATCTATTTCTTTTAACATTTATTGTTTGTTTAAGTATACAATACCTTAAAACCAAAATGAATTGATGCATTTTTGATTATCTGTACATTTCATAGTATGTTCAATGGAGTTTTACTCGTGGTTAAATAGTTGATTGTGAAGATGAAGAAATTATGGTTAAAATTTCATCATTGATTATAAATTTCAATTCATGTATTCTACTAAAGCTTTAGTTATGATCTTAGAATATTTATTTTGGAGACCATCTATAGTTTAACTGGTTCTATTGCATTTCTAGCCTTTGAGGAAGAATCCGATGAACCATCAGGAGTAATTGCAGTGCCTGGCATAGAAGGAAGAATATGTCATATTTCTCCAGACATGAAAGAACATTTGCACCAACTTAGAACTGCAAGGAAGCAAGGTCTAAGGACTTTCCCCACCATTAGTGATAATGCATCTGAGAATTCCGATTCTGACTAAATGTAATATCGTTAGTATGTTTTGTTAGTGCACAAATGAGTTGGACCACTTTTAGCAGTGTTGAGCGTAGTTACAGAATCTTGGTTATTTGTATCATTCTGGAATTGATGTTAATTCTAAGGATATTACTCTAAATGTTCTTTTCATTTAATTTTTACCAAGTCATGTAACTTTTGACTCTTCATTGTGTTGTGCCAGAAACATTAGCAAACATTTGTGATTTAAGTATAGACAGTATGCTGTTTATTGTTAAATGAAATTCATGCTCACCTTTTCATAGTATTTATTTGTATATTAATTTTTCTCTTAATATTGCTTATTTTTCTGTCCAAATGAAATATATATGCATATATTTCCTCTCATTATTGGTTTAATTATAATTCTTTCAACCTTGTTGGAACTCCATGATACAGTACATGAATCTATTTTCTTGTTAGGAGTCCTGAGCTTTCATGTTAATGACTGGGAAGCATGGGCTTTATGGAGTATAGTTACTATTATCATTTTTACTAAGTATGGTAGCCTTTCTTACTACAGTGAAACAAGGGTATTAGTACTATAGTATTTACCAATAAACTGTGTTAAAAATTAGTTAAAACCAGACTGGACCAAATTCACAGTTGGTTTGTTATTGGTTAACTGGCGATAATTCCTAAATTTACTTTTCCTTTGGCAGTTTTAAAAATTATGTTTGTAAGGAAAAAGTTCCAATCCTTAAGTCTTCTGTCATTTCCTCAGTTCAGAGCTATACATAGTGCAACTAGGGGAAAAATCACTTCTGGTTTTGGAAGACCATATGTGCCTTCCTTTAATTTGTGGGAAATAAAAGGTATGTCCAATTAGTGTTTCTTTCAGTGAACAGTGGTGAGCACAGGAGCTGTGCATACTAACCTGGCTAAGGTAAGTGGTGTGGCTTTCATCTCATCTGCTTTACTATAACTGTGTTCAGAAGTGGATTTGCAGACATAATGCTATTTTCTGAGTTATCATGGATGATAGAAGACAAAAGTAGAAAACTTTGCTTCCAATATAATGTATTAAATTATTTGCCTCATTTCAGTGATATAGTACCCTGACAAAATTGGCTTAAGGAAGGAAGGGTTTATTTGGGCTGATGGTTCCAGGGAACAGTTCATCATAGCAAAGGAGACGTGGGACAGGAGTTTGAGGTGGTTGTTGGTCACATTACTGTCACAGTCAGTGGGGAGGGAGAAAGAGAGAGGTGGGGGAGATGCTGCTTCAAACTTTTTCTCCTTTTTATTTTGTTTTGGAACTCCAGCCCATGGAATCTTGCCACCCACATTTAGGGCGGGTCTTCCCACTTCAGTAATCTAATATAGAAAATCCCTCATAGATAAGCCAAGAGATTTGCTTCTGTTGTGGTTTTAAATCCCATGTAATTGACAATGAAGATTAATTAATGATCACAGGTCATTTCAGTTTCACTTAAACAATAAGATACCAAGAAAATTCCTGAAATTGAACCTACTACTATTATGTATGAAATGGACATGAGTATTAAACTACCTCCTAAGTATTTCCTTTATGACTAGATTAGTACATCTCTCAACCTTCATCTGAGAAACTTCTTTTTGCAGTAGATAGTGCTTAATATTGAAATCTTCAAATGGTCAATTGTTGTGGAATATTATTTTAACATGTGTTACATTCATTAATGCTCTGGAATATTTGTTTATTGATGCAAAGATGTATTGCATTCTTTTATGTTGCATTTGTTTAACTCTGTGAAGCTGTGTTACTTTGCTTGCCTAAAACACCTGATTGGTCTAATAAAGAGCTGAACGGCCAATAGCTGGGCAAGAGAAAGGACAGGTGGGGCTGCCAAGCAGAGAGAATAAATTGGAGGTGAAATCTGGGAAGAGAAGATTGAGTATTGAGAAGAGGAAAAGAGGACATCAGGGGCCAACTGCCCAGCTACACAGCAAGCCACATAGAAGTAAAGAAAGATATATAGAATAGAGGAAGTTAAAAGCCCAGAGACAAAAGGTAGATGGAACAATTTAAGTTAATAAAAGCTGGCTAGAAACAAGCCAAGCTAAGGCCAGGCATTTATAAGTAATAATAAGTCTCTGTGTGTATTTATTTTGGAGCTGGGTGGTGAGCCCCCCAAAAGAGCCAAAGAGGAAAAAAAAAAAACTATAGTTGATGTTCAGAGAGTAAGAGACCGCAGAGTGCTGAGTCTAAAGTGGGACATCTGTATCATACCCCTTCCTCTCAAGGCTCGGGCATCATCATAGAAGAGATGGTTGAAAGACTGGAAGGGACAGAGGTGGTGCATGTGTTCAGTGAAACGGTACTTTCCTGACAGGATGGGTCAGTTGCACATGTGAACTCAGAGGCCGTGGCTGCACCAGTCCCACAATGAACTATCCAAATGCAATGTCGGCATTCTTACCCTAACTGAGGAAGTGCCAGCAATCAATGGCTTCGGGAAGAGAAGGCTCAGTTTTCTTCAATGCAGGCCCCAAGAAGCTAGACACTATGCAGTACATGATGGCCCTACACTCATGCACATAGAGGTGACACTAAATGGACTTGGTGTACTTAAAAAAAATAAAGAAACATAAGAAACTGGGATGGAAAAGCATTGAAAGGATGGAGGAAGAATTGGAAGAGGGGAGTGGGGATTAGAGTTGAACAAAATGCATTACATGTATATGTGAAACTCTCAAAAGTTAAATTATTCAATTATAAGTATTTAGAAATGTTGCTCAGTTCAGGTATTTTTATGAATATCTAAACATGTTTAAAATTAATTTTGCACTATTAAGTTCTATAGAAACAAATTATTGTTAGTGATAGATCATAAAATTTAACTTTCAAAATAATATTACTGGGGACAAATACTGTTATTTCATTAGATTTAGGATTTTTTCTCTCTTTGGTTCGTTATTGGAAAATGATTTTTTTTTGCAATTATATAAATGATGCTGAAGAGGCACACAATGACCTTTTGTGTTACTTTAAATTCATGGAGCTGAGCTGTTAAGAGTACTTGCTGATCTTCCCAAGGACTGGAGTTTGGTTCCCAGAACTGTATCTTCCCAGCAGACACTGCCTCTGACTTCAGCTCCATGGAATCCAATGCCCTCTTCTCCTTCCTCAGGCACACACATGCATGTGAGACAGACAGACAGACACACATACACACAAGCACACACACTCCTACACATTAGAAAAAACTTTAAAGTTAATTCATGAATTTAAATATTATCTAGTTTCTGGTTATTGTGTGCTAGAATGCAGAAGGAAAATCATTTTATTACTGGATATGGAGTCACCCGGCCATAGGTGTGGGAATATAAGTTAGGCTTTAAGTGGGGCTGCTGGGGATGAGAAGGGAGCAAACACTGGCCAAAGGGGAGCCTGGTGGCTCTCCCTCCAGACAAAGGGAAAGGCAGAAGTTGGGTGATTTCTGGAATGAATTAAGTGCCCATCATCTTGCCTGAAAGACTTCAGGGGCTCTGTCTTCTGTAGATGCTAAAATGCTTGAGCTAGGATAGAATGAAACGCATGCCATGCTTTTATTTTTGTTTGTGTTTTCTTTTCTTTCTTTCTTTCTTTTTTTTTTTTTTTTTTTTTTTTTTTTTTTTTTTTTTTTTTTTGAGACAGGGTTTCTCTGTGTAGCCTTGGCTGTCCTGGAACTCACTCTGTAGACCAGGCTGGCCTTGAACTCACAGAGATCTGCCTGCCTCTGCTTCTGGAGTGCTAGTAGTAAAGGTGTGCGCCACCACCATCAGGCACATGCCATGCTTTTAACAGACAAACTAAAGACCTGGGAACATGTTTACATTCTGTCCTCTTGTGGCCCTTACCTGTCTCAATGTCTGGGCATCACAGATTTTGCTGGCTTCCTAGAAAGTGGTAGCTCTCGGAAAAAGTCCACTTAGTATTTTGTAGCTTTTAGCTCCAGTAGTATAAAATATAAAATACTTTGAAATAGAATTAGAGCTTTATAATTGCTTTCTAAATTTCATTGCTTTAGTGGTCTGATGGGTATACAGATGTTTGTTTTTAGGTTACAGGTACAAACAAATAACTAATATGTGCCAAAGATGAAATGAATGAATGTTTTCCGTGAAATACGTATCTACATTATTGTTTCTTGTTTCCTTAATTTACGTATGATAAAAAAACTTCTAAAGCAATTTAGGAATGAGTCAAGATATATTTTCTATGGCATATAAGCGAGGAATTGCCTGGAAAATGGCTGTAATTGATTTCAAGGTTCTTAAAATATTGTCCTTGTTTGAGTTTTAATTGTTTGATCTGTACATGTATTGTGGGAGGACTGATGTTTCCCCTTGATTCACATTATTTTTATCCAGAACATAAGTTAATGGCTATAAATATTAATTTATAAACACAAATAGATATCTCTTTTTAAACCGCATTTAATTTTTTGTTTTCTGGATTTGATGAGTCTGATATATTTGATTATATTTTTCACAGCTATAACTGTGAAAACAGTAATAAGAATAGTATTAGAAAACATATGTACCACGTCCATATCTCTTTGAAAATCACATACAGTCAACCTAATGTTTGTATTTGATATAGTCAGCAATTATGCTGAATTTTAACTATTTACAGTCTAGATTGGTCCAGTATATCTGTTTTGAATGCTTGTAGATTATTAGTGTGATAAGTCATACATTTTTTTTAACAGGTTATAACATGATAGGCAAAAAGGTTGAATTAGCAGTTCATTACCAAAACTGGTTCTAGCTCTCACAAAACTGTCCTAGTAAATACATAAGCTTATGTCTCTTTTTGTTTAGGTTTCTTTCACCTTTGAATCAGGCTACCTTCTCCATTTCCTGCTCATATTGTAATGATTCAGATATTTTCTTATTTTAATGTGGAAAAACTAAACTATAACAATTACTGTAATATAATGAAACACCAATCTTTATATAAATCCATAATCCTATTTTAGCAACTCTTTATTCCACATATTAAGTCAAATAACAGCAGTAAAAAATGTAAAAGCCACTTTTTATTGCACATTGACAATCTTGTAGTTAAATGAATCACTAGATTAATTACAGTTTGGACATGCATTGGTTGGTCATTTAGGTCACTAAAAGTCAGATTTGTCATTTCTCAAGTGACTCATTCTGAAATTGCAAAGTGTTAATATGGCTCTCTAACATAGCTATTGGGTGTTAGTCTGACTGCATGTAATATCTTGTTCTCATCATAGTTAAAAATGTTGCACCAAAGCTATGAAGTCTGTACAAAAAGGATAGTCAGATTTTTTGGTACTAGAAGGAGACAGAAGTAGAGATATTCAGAAATCAAAATGCAATATACCCTGCTTGATTAGTTCCCAGAGAATATGATTTATCTTTAATGCACATCATTTGCCTAAGAATACATAGTGCTTGACTGAACATCTTAGTAATAATGATGCTATCCATTCCGATTATTCATTTCATATTTTTACTATTTTTAAAAGGAGGTAAAACCTCAGTCTTTACAATCATAATAAGTATAAAAATGACATTGTAAAATTAGAACCCCAAGTCCTAAAGTAAAATCCATGGAATTAATAGTGCACTGTTCCTAATGGCTGGTAGATCTGCTCTCGAATAAAGTTTAGGTTGTTACATGAAAGACATTAATAAATAAATCCATTATTCTCAGAATTTCTATAAACACTAACAATTTTTATAATGCAACATTATAAAAACTAAAAAGCACACTCTCAAAATGTTTAAGTCATTGTTGTTCATATTTATGATTGTTCAATTATAGTGGAGTATGATGATTCCTAAAACGGAAAGAAAAAATAGCAAAGAAAGCAGAAAACAATGAATCCGATGACCCAGTTCACTGAATAAATGTAGATGATCACCATATCCATGTCAAACCACCATCCACGGCTGTCGTCCTCGAAGTGGAGGTAGTCCATCCTGTGTGCACCGTGTGGGAACTGCCTCCGTGTCACTGGAGCTGCGTGCCTGTGGAATCCTAGAAGATACAGGGGTCAATTACTTCCCAGCTCTCTGAAGTCAGACAGACGATTATAATGGAAGCTGTGTTATTATCACAGTGCCTTGAACAAAGCTGACCTTGGCTCCACTGAGTGGTGTACTGTTGTGTCTAACAGTTGCCTTTTCAATGATGAGCAATGTTGAGAAGTTCCAGTTTGGGGTATAAAGGGAAGGGCAGCAGGTAAAGCTGGCTCGGTGACTTGGACCACATTATTGATGACTTCATTGGCATCATCTGACATGACTTCGGAAGACTATTTTCACCTACACATTTTCCTAAATTTAAATCCTAGTCATCA